ATTCGTGTCTAACTGAAGCGTTTGTCCCATTTTGCATTGCGATTGCGGATTAACGATCGAGCCACGAGTTACTTGGTCAATGAGTGTTAATCTCTGTGACTGAATAATCAGAAAGAAGTTTAACTTTAAACCGCGAAGTAAAACCGAAGTACTTTGCGGAAACTTGAGTTTAAGGAAAAACCCGGTTATAAGGATTTAGTTCAGCCTGATATAAGTTAAATTTACTCTGGAGTAGGTTTAAATCTGAGAGAAGATTTTTATCCTCGATTTTTCTGTTTACAATCGTAGCTCATTTTCATTTCGCTTTCGTGGATGTTTAGTTTATTGCTTTTTCTGTATTGTTTCACAAGTTTTCTATAAATTATAAAGCCATTCGAATGAATTAAAAAGGTACTTTGGGATTATCCCGTCGACTATTTTCGCCAAACTTGATATTATCGCCAAAAGCTTGCTTCTGCGCCAATAACCGTGACCAGAGATGCCAACTTGCTCCGGACAGCGAATAAATATTTTCGAGTGGTAGTTTATTAATTGTAATTCTTTGTTTAATAAATTCAATTTATTAGATTTTTATCCACCACTATTTCTAAATACTTAATAGACTTACATATTCTCCACTTCATTATAGTTAAGTCATGCTAAACATGTTAAAAAATTAGCAAAATTATTCAAATATTTGCAAATTATAGTTAGTAGTTATTTACCGTTTTTTTAATTATTTTGTCTTGTCCGGAGCAGTTGGCATCTCTGCGTGACGTATCCGCGTATCGAGGCAACATCATGCAACCTTGACTACACGAGTTAGTTTTCTTTAGCTTGTTGATATATCCTGTTTTTTTCTCTCACTCTGTTGCAAAATAATTCGAATTTGGGATTTGCCTAGTACTAAAGAGAGTGCAATGGCATATTTTCAATAGTATAGAATTATTTCTTCTAAGATAATGTACGTTAATGGCTACGATATGTCGTTGTATATCAAAACTGATAAGCAATGGCGGTGCAATGTAAAAGGATGCGAAAAGCGAGTTGATTGGAACAATTACATGAGAGAGGTATGCACCCATAGCCTTCTACAGTGTGATTCAGAGCAAATAGGAGGTTCGAACAAAATTGTAGAGATAGATAAGAGCCTTTTTACAAAGCGGAAAAACCAAGTTGATCGTATTCTTCCAGAACAATGTATATTTGGGGGACTGTACAGAGAGACCGACGAGTGTTTCATCATAAATGTTCCCAATCGAAAGGCAGTAACTCTAATGGCTGAAATTTGGAACAGCATTGCCGAAGGAACTATAATTTTCTAAGACTCATGGAAAAGTTACAAAACTGATGAATTGGAAGCAGCTGGATTCCAACGCCTTTAAGTGAATCACCGATATAATTTTGTGGATCCTGAAACTGGTTCACATATACAAAATATAGAACGATTGTGGGGTTCGGCAAAATGACGGAACAACCCGAAAACACTTGGATTCGTATTTAAACGAATTTAAACGGCAGCGATTGAACAAGGATAATGACTTGTTTGTTTGCGCTTTAAAACTTATCAAGGTTTTTTGGTAGCCGAAATGATTTATCTAATAATATATATGGTTATTATTAATTATTTGTTTATTATTATGATTTGATAAATTTATTGTGTTTACAATGTTTGTTTTGTAAGAACTAGTTCCAAAGGATTTGACGAGCGTTGGCAGGTCGACGGGATAATAACAAATACATAATATAATTGTTTTAACTAATGAACATCTTCATCTTATCTTTCTTTCTGAATCTACTATAGTGATAGCGAAATATAATGAAAGAATGCATCTTTTGGATCTCTAAGATTTGTTCTGAATAGACAGTATACTACTCAATTATTTTTCTCTTGAAAATAAACATCGAAATAAATATTCATCCTTCTAATTAATTACTAACAACTAATTTTATATAATACAGGTCTTTGATTCGGTATTTAATCTATAATTTACGGAGGTGGCCTCATAGGCCAGGAACTCCGCCACACCACTTCTAAGTTTTCGCAACCACGACATTACAAAGGGATATATGACATCATTAAGTATAGACCCGTTAAATCATTTTGATTCTTTTATGGGGTTATCTCTGAATACATTTGCAAATGATAAAAAATGTTGTAATTTTTACGTTCATTCTTTGATGTTGAAATTTTTGACTTTTGAATATAGCTATCAATTCTACCATTTTGTCATGTTGCCGAAGTCTAATGGTACAAGATAAAGAGGTAAGGGCCGCAAAACAAATAGCTGGCATTAATAATCATATTAAAACAATGCACTGTAGCTGGTAATTGATTGTGTGCCTCTGATTCTATGCTCATCAGTTCGCCCTGCCTTTCAACTGTGAAAACACTGGATCAAGCAAAAACACAATTTTAGTAGTCCATCTTATCAAAATAAAGATTAACTGTATTTAGTATTACCTGCTGTTGCTCACGATAACTCATAATATTTGAAATTCACCCCAGTCAAGC